CAGTTACAGACGAGTTTGCGGCGAGTGATGATCGAGCCACTCTTTTTCTTGTGTTAATTCGAGTGTAATTTAATATTAACGTTGTGTTGAAAATACACGCGAGAAACGGGAGAAAGATATGTATCTTGTAAACAATAATACAATCGAGAAGTACGTATTTCGTAAGTAATAAATCGATATTTGATCGGTGTGTGAAATTGAATCGGCGTAGTTAGGTTAAATTCACGTCAAGCTTTCTCGTCTCGACTTTGTAACGCGTGATTTTCATACGTCTTTACGTGTTAGCAGTTATCGAAAGACAAAATATTAATTATAACAATTCATTCATCGATGCTAATTCATCCCTCGATCGATTATAATGATAGCGCGATCATTCTGAACATATCGCCGCGTGACGTCATCGAGAAGGAATTTGAAGCAGTTGCAGACGAGTTTACGGCGAATGATGTTCGAGCCGCTCTTTTTCTCAGGTTATCGAGTGTAATTTAATATTAACGTTGTGTTGAAAATACATGCGAGAAACGGGAGAAAGATATGTATCTTGTAAACAATAATACAATCGAGAAGTACGTATTTCACGTAAGTAATAAATCGATATTTGATCGGTGTATGAAATTGAATCGGTGTTAGGTTAGATTCGTGTCGAGTCTCTCGTCTCGATCTTGTGATTTTCACACGTCTTTACACGTGTTCGCAGTTATCGAAAGACAACCGTCGTGTCCGATTACGAGCGCATTTACACGTTTGTTGGTTGTCGAATCGTTTATCCTGAATTTCGGGAGTGTCAAGGATGATAAAATATCGTCCTTATGTAAGTGTCGCGAGTGATAGTGAATAATGTAACAGCAAATGAGAATGTCGAAATCAGAGCATCGGGCGATTATTATTGGGCCTGTTCTTTTTATATATTTTCTTTTTCTAACATATTGCACTAATGCAGCAGTGCATCTAAAAAGAACAGACTCATAGTCTTTAACGCGAGTGTAAATTTTAAAAACACATATAAATTAGTAATCGATATTCGATCGAAAGTATTATAGGTGTTTGAATAAATAAATATGTATCGGGAGTGTCGGAAAAATATTGTGATTATCGAATTTTAAACATCGAGTGCACTGAGTGATAGTAAAATGATACCTATTTACTTGTGCGATCATCGGTGATTCCAAAGCTTCGGACAAAAAGATGAACGGATCAGACGAGGAAAAGGAAACAACAATTGGTGAGTCTACAATTATGACTATAATTAATTAGATCTCATATTTACATGTGGCGAATTAAATAATAATTGTATTATAATTCTGTAAAAAAAGTTATGTGAATTTCGTGATTTGTGAATATACACAATGAAAATTGCTTATTACAATAACATGCTAAAAAAATTGTTTTAAAAAAGGTCTCTAAAGTGAAATATATTTTTATATATATATTTTTTTTTCATAATTTTTATATATATTTTTTTCCATAATTTTTTTTACATTACAGTTATATTTATATAATAATAAATAATGTGAGAATAAAACATACATGAATTAAATTTTACGTTATAAAAATATGCAAAGGATTAATTTTATTCACTTTGTATTAAATATGAAATAATAAATAGCATAAATGTGGTCGATCTGAAACAGTAGTAACGTAATAAACATTATTTATAATCGCCACTTGTAACTTTTCCATACATAATTTGTTTATATATATATATATATATATATATATATATATATATGCAATAAATAAGACAACCATCATTCTGATATTTTCACATGTTACTTTGCCTAAAAATGTACAAAAGCATTAACCATTGCGGAATATTTCATAATATATGTAATATAATATAAAGGGAGATATATATATATATATATATATATATATATATATATATCTCCCTTTATATTATATTACATATATTATGAAATATTCCGCAATGGTTAATGCTTTTGTACATTTTTAGGCAAAGTAACATGTGAAAATATCAGAATGATGGTTGTCTATATGTATCAATGCTTTGTACATAAAACAGAACTTTTATAGCCTCAGAGAAAAAAAGATTTCGGAGTCGCACATTTCGTTTCATTTATCTCCAGGCTATGTATCAGGTGTTTTATTTATAAGATATTATATATTATGGCATATAGAAATCAATTATTTCTGTGCGTCATCGGTATCATTATTTATATTTGCAACGTCACGATATCGCGTACGCTCGAACTACGTAATTTCTCGCAACTTGTATAAATTGATAATGTTCTAACTCGATGAGTATATATAATAATTGGCACGGGAAATCTTTTCGTGCCAATACGAAGTATCGTGCCAGTTGAAATGATTCTATCTAAGAAATAGCAACATCTCTCATCCATGCGAGTGCCAAACTTTACGACCAGCTGCTGTGAAAATATTTATCGAATTTTTTTGGCGCTTCAATCTTTCTTTCTTAAGGGATTATCGTACGTTGATCCGAGATATCGGAAGGATTACGTCGTTTATCTTGCTTGATTAAATTTGTCTTTCATCCTATGCCATTCACAGAAATGAGATTTTTATGTCAAGTCACATCAGAAAGCAATTAACTTTTTAAACAAGAATTCACTTTGTTTATTTAATATCGCTGAAGTTTATAACTTGAACAATATGTTTATACTCGAAGTATAAACCTAACTATAGATATGTAAATATTTTATTTTAAAAAATTTCGTAGGCATTATTTTAGCGAAAATAATACGCTTACGAAATTTTTTGAAATAATTCTTGTATGTCTAGATCTATCTCTAGATCTATCTCAGCGATATCCTTTATTTTATTTTTCAAATAATCTGATACTACGTTGAGATGCATGCCATGAAACAGAGAGAATTCCTTCCTTCTGTCTGATATAATATCGTGTCTTTTAGATTCTGCACGTTCTGCTTACTTTCCAAGCTAGGTTTGAATTTACTCGTCAATCGAAACGGTTAAATAGACAATGACTCGTACTATCTTAAGCTTTTTCTCGTAAGTTCTTTTGAACAATCATTTGAAGGACAATACATAAAAAAACGTGATTATCGTTAAACGTATCAATAACATTTTCTAACAATGGCTTCAGTTTCTTTTTTTTACAAATGAAGAAAAATGATATCAAATGCAATTCTATACTTAAATCATATTCAAATTTTTCGGCTAATAATATTTCTACAAATCTCTTCTCGGAAATAGGATAAAATTTCATATATATGTATGTATCTCTCTCCCAGCAGGAATATAGATTTTATTTCGTAAATCCAATTTTTACACAGATAGGATACTGCGAAATTGATACGCTTGATAGGTAGAAAATTTTGCGTATGTATAATCGACGTTATCAATTATTAAAAATACCAACATTAATATCAGCATTAATTAATTAGAAATATCGGCGCATTAATTCTCTAATTAGCTATGATAAAATGCGCTTCATAAAATAGATCATCATGTACATATTGTATTTTTTGTTGGCATTTTTGCGCTAATAAATATTAACGAAATTATATTATTTCGTCAACGAAATTTGTCTTGTTCAGAGATATTAATTCTCATCAAGTTTCAAGAGAATGTTGTTGTAATGCAAGTACTAGATAAATTATGAAACATATTCACTGGTCCGTATTAAAGCAACTTTGTACGACTATCATATCACACGACTATCATATCAGTTACGAGTTAAGAATATTAATTCGCATTGCAAATATACACATATTAATCAGGGTACTTTTGACGTTCCTCTTATCCTGGCTACCTTAATCCGTATTGCAAAATTCATTTTCGGTCCGGTAGATTAATGCGAACTCGACGAGATACTTTACGTCTACTGCGAAATATGTTGGATAAGCGGACTTGCTCTATCTCGACGAAGCTCTAAAACGCACCGAGCGAAGAAAGAAAGTCGATCCCTCGGGAACTACATCTTGCGTTCTAACTCGTTTTTATGCTCGACGAAGGGCTGCTCTTCCTATATCTCACCTGAGTAATGCACCCGCGTTGAGTCTCGGTCCAGGATACCCATTTAGCTATCTGAATAAATCAATTTCACCATAGCATAAATTTTGCTTAAGCGCAGCAACTTTTATAATACCGATTATGCTTCTCTAAACACGTATCTTCTAAGTCTCTATTTGATAACGTAATGCATATTGATATGAGAGGATCTAATGTTTTTTTTTTCTTTTTTTTTTTTCTTCATGTAATTAGCCGAACAGCGATAGCTTATTTCTATTGTCGCGTCTCTATGAAACTTAAGCTTAATATTTCAATTTTGTTATATAAATTTTATTCAAGTATATTAAAAATCAAAATTTTATATATTATATAGTATATTATATAGTATTTTATATATTATATAGTATTATATAGTATTTTATATAATATATTATATAAATTTTATTCAAGTATATTAAAAACCGAAAACTCAAAAATGCTTTGTTAGAAATAGGTGCTTTCAAAGATTTTCCGATTTTTATTCTTTGAAGTACACGATGTAAAATTAGCTTTATTGATTAATTTATAACGTATTAGATACAAATATAAATATAGATAAATATTTATTACATAATTATGTATAAATTATCATATTAAAATTCTTCTAAAAGAATCAATATTTTAATATAAAAGCATGACGCTAATTTAAATTTGGATACATTTTTCGGACAGCATTTTTGAAGTTCCTCCTTTTCTTTCGTACTATCTCATTTTGATCAGACATCGTTAGGATTGAAATTCCGTGGCCTTTCCCTTTCTTTCTCTCTTCCTGTCACGCATGATTGACGACGATGTCAGGTGCTCCGGCCAAGCCGCAGGGAACAAGGTATTGAAACGTGATACCGCGCGACAGAGACGAACAGCTGTGAGGCAAGTGACAGCTCCGGAGGAATGGCGAGTCGCAGTTGCACGTACACACATACGCGCTCGTAGGGAGCATGCCCGCGAACACGGCACCACGACGACGACGAGGACGACGACGACGACGACAACGACGCTCCTCGCTCCTCCGCCAGTTCTGGGTTCGCAGGGAGACAGCTCGTCGGCGCTCTCTCAGTCCGACAACGCACGCGACCTCGCGCGGTTCGGACAACCCCGTGCACCTAGTGCTCGCGTCGTCGCTTCTGCTCACCGCTACATTGCACCTCTCGACTTTCCTTCTCTTTGTCCCTTTCCCTTCGCCGAGGTGACGCAAAGACAATCCCAGCGTTCGCGTCTTAACTATTGACTACTATAACGATGTCTGGTGAAAATTCCCTCGGATGCAGTTATCAAGTTGCTAACTAACTAGGTCTGAATTAGCAATTCTCTCTCTCTCTGCGGATTGTGATTTGTCCGACAAAACAAGGAGAGATCCTCTAGTTACTCTAGGATTAGAGCCAACTAGCGTCGCTGCGCGGTGTCTCTTGTGTTTTCAGTGTGTTTCCGCAGCGTGTAGGCGGTGCAAATGCAAAGGTTATCGCGAAGTGAGATACGTTCCTCGAGTATTCACGGTGAGCATTGGCTAGAGAGTCTCTTGACGCTGATTATGATTACCCGCATCGTTTGCGTGAATCTGCTTTGAATCGATTTCTAATTATTTCAACTCGGTTTTGGAATTCACTTATAATTATGTCCGCGCGGGCTTCTCTCGCTTTTTAATTGTTCTATGAAAGTTTTCGTAATATTATAAACTTTCGTAGTAATTAGTAGTGCATGTGTGAACAAGGACAAAATTGCATTAGTTATAAAAGCACCTAATGAAGCTTCCCGTTTTTGCGTCAAAGTTTCGTAAGTCTTCATCGTGGTCGCTCCGTGAAAATTTTTGAAATAAGGTCGGAATACAATACTGTTCTCTTGAGAGAGAGAAGAGATTGCAAAAGTAATCCTCAATATCGTTTGTTCGTCAAGTTGCACTTATACGTAAGCCGCAAAATTCTACTTAATTATTTTTCAAGTGGCATCTTGCAATTAATTTACGATGAAATATAATTGATTGGAACGATTCAATGATGGAATCATGCAAACGATACGAGTACGACTTATAAAAACATTTATTATTTTAGAATTTAAACTCAATTTTTTTTATATTGGTGTTCTCAAATTGTTAATAAAGTAATTAAAAATTTTTTTCCAACTTATAAAGATTATTATCTCAACTTTAATTAGATAGAAATAGATATACTTGTGTTTTCGTGCTAGGAAAATAAGAATTAGGATATAGATAATATAAGATTAGTGATAATACATGCGATAATATTATTTATGTCGATGTTATCGCGAATTTTTCTATTTTGGAGTACTTGGAGTCATATCGAGAAACATATTAATTTCAATAGAAGTACAACTTACTATTCTCCCTCTTTTTTAAATCTCTTTTAAAATTTTCTTTACACGAATTAAATTAATAATTTTAAACATCTTACAGGACTTACGTAACAGTTACAACATCAATTTCAAAACAACAAAGTTTTCTTAACGCTTAAGGTATTTTCGCGCACAAGAATCTCGTTACGTTGTAAGATAATGACGAGTAATTTTATCGCCGGCAATGAAAATCTTAAATCTGTTGTTTCTCTTGCGATTATGTAAGTTGTCAATTAATACGATCGAATAATATTCGCGTGATAAAACTGGCACGAATGGATTCGTCTATTATCAGCATTATCAGGGATCTCGCACATTCGTAATAATTTTCTCGCAACTTCATAACTATAGAATACGAATATGGATCTCGGGACGATTTACTATCTCACTTTCCCAACATTATCTCTCAGCAGGGAAAGCATTCAGTGTAACTTTATAAACGTATTGAAGAAGCGCGCGACAAACTGACGTCATTAATTAGTTCACACGCGAACGTGATAATCCTTTCACGCTATCATAGCATAAAACGGGTGATAATCGTGAGATTTCTTTACCTCCGTTGCTCCCCTATATTTCACGTAAATTGATTGAATTTCGATTTCGTCGTGTCAGCGAATCATTTTGCAAGTTCGTCGATTCTTCTTGTAGCATAAAGAAAAACGAAATATTATTTTTTGCCTTCGCGTGACATTTGAACATAAATAGCAGTCTTTAATTATTCAAAGAGGTGTGTTTATCTAGCAGATAAAACGTCGGGTGTCGCGGCTCTCGCGGCATATCGCGAGCGATCTTTTTTCTCGTCAGCTGTTCACCTCCGGTCGACGATGACATAGTAGTAGAACAGGTAAAAAGAATAGTCGGGCTTTCTGTTTGTTCTTATCTCATTACAAAGCTGACATCGAGAAGAACTTGCCGAGACGTAAAGAAAATGTAATTCAGTTCATAATGGTGCATAAACGTGCACGATAATGAGCTGATGTAATTTTTTTCGGAAAAGCTTTTATTTCAAGGGTAACTCTGAGGAAAAAATGAAAAGAGTGTTACGCGTACCAACTGTATAAATAAAATATTGACAAGCTGATGTAAGAAAATTGACTTTTTTTTATCGATACTTATTGTGAATCTTGATAGAACCCGTTGATATTTTACTTCCCTACGAAATACTTTTTTATTTACTCTTTTAGACGGAATATCTCTTGAAATCGATAAAAAAAATACTGGATGTAAAAGTGTTTCAGAATTTAAGATCGATAAATCATGCTAAATTATACTGAAGCATAAAATCGCATTCGACGATTTTAATCATATTCAATTATAATTAATTTTCATGCGCGATTTAACGCGATAATATTAATATTTAGCAACTTTGTTTTGGTTACGTAACGTTTCTTTCCTACATTTTAGATTATTTTCTCTGCAACAACGCAATTCCGATATATTTACACAGCCATATTTGTACAGGATTACAATTAAAATTTAAATTAAAATTTAATAGCCCGAAAATAACCCCGTGGTGAAGAATCGCGCTCATAATTGATATAAACAGAAAAGATCATATTTTGTCCGTGAGCCATATACAATATTTACAAGCAGTTCGAATTGAATTGTAGCTTGGGTCAAAAAAAGAATTACTTTTACTTAATTATTTTGAATGTGCGAAAAACATGTTAATTATATATTACGTACAATATTTTTTACAAAGTATATTTAAAGCATTAGTTTTATTTATGAATTGCGTGAAATATTAAAATACTTTTGTGCGAGCTATCATATGTTATACGCTAATTATTTTCGTTTTATTACTCATCATAAATGTATTATTTCCTTTAATGAGTATCTAAAATTGTATCAATACGACAAAATTAATGTCAATTCGACATGCAATATTGTACTCTAATAAGATTGATCTAAAATGATTGGTTGTTTCAACTGAGCACACTGGCCACTAAATTTTGCCATCAAAATTTCATTAATCGTTTTATTTTTATCGTACTTTTCACCTGCTCAATGTCCATGTGTCATGCGAGAGTCACCGGCCCGGCGACAATGAACCAGCCTAAACTCTTACGTCCTCGTATTATGGCATATTTAATTTTATTCGAAAAACATGGCCGTGTGCGCCAACTAACCGAATCTGTGCCAGAACTAACTTTGTTTTTCTCCGCTATAGTCGGCATTGACACTAGAAACGGCCGATCATATGACAATGATGCATACGCGTCAACAGACGCGGTGTCGTTCTTTTTAAAGTTGGACGGGAAAGGACACCGTCACATACACTGAGAAACGTCGCACCTGTAGGAAAAAAAAATATTGTACTACCTTCATCTATCGCTTTGACGAGTTTTACACACATTGAAGCTCAAATTGCGAATATATATTTCGACGCATGTAACAATATTTCGACATGTGCGTTCTTTCTTTTTATTTCGTTCGAAAGTTTAACGGTCAATTCGACGTTTTGCCGGTTGATTGGCTTTACGTTTTTTCGCGATATTGATAGTCAGTCGCGAACGAAGTTTTGGCAAAATATCTCGTTTGATCGAATTTCCAAAGGTCTCTTTAAAGGCAACAATTTTTGATGACATGACATTGCACCATTATAATCCTTATCGTGTTTTAATCGAATTAAACATTTTAAAGAGAAAGAGAGGAAACACTTTTTACTTCAAAATTTATATTTATTAAAATATTGAAACGTATGTAAGCATAAGGTGAAATTAAATTATATTATAGAATTATATAGAAAATTATAATGGGAATATAAATTATTAATTATTATAAATTATTACAAATTATATTATAATAGAAATTTATTTTCGACATTATTGGAATAAAGTTCTTTTTAAAATGAACGATTTAATTAACGCGCGCAATTTTTATTGTGAACTATTTAATCAATGCAATTAATCGTTTTATATAGAGATTTATTTTTACATACATTTCCATTGAATGAAATATTACATTTAATGAAATATTTGCTATTCTTTTCGCGAAAAATTCTGTAGGATCTAATTTCTTTGACTAGAGAAACATGAAGAGAGTTATAACGAAAGGGTTATATTCAATGCATATGACGATGTTGCGAATGTGACCAACGGCAGTTTAGAGATGCAGAAATATGGTGTGACATGGAGTGTAGATTTTCTATCTGCGATACAATCGTAAAGCGAAAAAAAGTTGTACGAGTTGATAGTGAAAAAAGGATAAAGAATTTCTCTGCGTTACTAACGATTTCAGCTTGTTAATTTTAACAATTTATATGTAGTAATTGTGCTGGTTATTTCCTTTGTAACAATCAATGGAAAATATTATAATATATAACATTGGATATAATAATTGTATTAAACAATTTTTTACGGTAATAAATATATTGAATAAAGTATGTATGATGCTCTCAAATATTGTAAATTTTATTACTTAAAAAGTAGATATTTTTTATTTTTTTAATTTAATTTTTATATAATAAAAGCATTAGAGTTTTGATAACGAATTTTACGTGTGTTTTTACGTGCTTTATAAAGTTTTTATAAAATATAATGTTCTACGTCAACGTGTTCAAAGTCATATTCTTTTAAAGAAAACACGTTTAATAAAATTTTTTTCTTTTCAAACACATTTTTCTTTTAACTTCTAAAGGGTTGATAATGTTATTTCCATCATTTCTTTCATTTCCATAAGATAAATTTTAATTTCTTCAGGGGTTAGACATGCTTTAATATATTCTAAAGCGTCATCTCAACTCTTCAACTAGTCCCACAGCACATTACTAGACTGACTAAGATAGAGGCTCTCAAATTTCTCTAACTTTAGCTGCACGACGTCAGTAAGAAAGGCAAGCAAACAGGAAATAAATTTCTTAACTCTTTCATTAATTTTATGAAAAATAAAGTGAGACCTGTATTGGCTTTGTAAAATGAAGTCTTGTAACAAAGATAAAATTGCAATTATTTTGCATGTTCTCGTATAGTACACAATATTGTGCAAAATTTAAATTACAAAATTGATTAAAATTTAATTAATTTTTTAAATTATGATGATAAAAGGCTTAAATTAAATTTTTTTTATATTTTTATAAAAATTGAAATAGATTTTGCAGAATGTTTTTATTTTGTTCCAAAAATAATTCAAAATTTAAATCGCAAAT